CTACACTTGGACCAAAAAATGGAGTCTACATTCAGCTAGAACCTCGCTAAAAGAAGATGCACTTTCTGAAACTCCCCAGGAGGAGACTCCCTCTGTCAATGACTCATTGGGTGTAATGCTTTCCAAGACCCCAAAGATGGGTAGGAGCCTAAGACCCATTGACAGTCAGCAAGTGCTGTCTCACTGACCTCCTGTGGGACCAAGACCTCAAGTCAATTTTGTAAATAGGATGTGGGCTCCAAAGTCTTTTGGTGGTTTTTGAATTGCTATGAATATCTGCAGAGGAGCATTCCACTTTTCATAAGCTTTTCTAGATTGCACTTCTTTTCACTCATCTTTGAGAACACTTTCTGCAGGCTTCAGTTCAACAAATGGAGCAGTGTTAACTGAACACCAGATTTATGATAGGTTTTAATTACAGCTCATTGTCTGGCATGTCCTGGTGACGTACCTGTGATCCCTGTCTAGACAAAAGACCAAGAAGTAGAACAGTTACAGCAGAAGACCTGGAACCCAGGACATTTTCTTTTTATTCCCAAACTCTGTTAAAAAATAAAGTCTCTTGCACCAAGCTTGACCATTACCTATGTCTGTGAATTGCAAGAGCTGCACTTTCTCGTGCTTTAGAAGTGCCTTGAAATACACTTAGATTAACAATTTCCTAGAATTTGTAAGGTTGACTGTGGAGGAACAATGAGTTCAACTGTTTAGCAGTCAAGTTTCAGTAACTCAGCCGAAAGAAAGGAGGTGGCAACCATGTTGCTGCTTACTGAACTGCTGTTGGAAAGGAGAAAATAGGACTTGGAAGGGAGCAGCGAAACAAGGGGAAGTTAAAGGGTGATTAGAAGATGTTGCCACAACATTGGCATGGCTTTAACTTTCCCTCACTGCAGCTGGCACCACATTAAGAAGGCTTTGTGCATTAATGCCACTGGTGTAGGTGTGGAGGCCAGGAGTGTTGGCTGCAGCAATTGATTCCCTCAGCAGCCCCAGAGCAAATCCCAGCACAAATGCAGGCCTTGCACAGCACAGCGGGGAAGGAGCTTGCTTAATGCCAGCAGCAGCAGCAAAGTTCAAGCCATACGGCCATGCGCATGTACCTTCACATCCAAAGCAGCAGAACTTTGTTCTTTGCAGTCCCTCCATGCTCTTCCCTACCTCTACCAAGGTCTTCAAGCACTGCTCAGCAGAGGAATGTCACACACTAGCAACTGACCTGAGAAGCTTTCTCCTTCAGCAGGCACTGCAAAGTGTTCGACTGTAAAAGAGCACCTTAAGAGTAGACTCAGTCTCAGAGCCCTTTTTTTTCTTTAGTTCTTATAAAAAGTAAAAATTCTCATGGAAATGTAAGCATATAGAAGCATTTTTCTGCTCTTTTTGAGTGCTGAGCTTCTGCCTGGTGACACGCTCTGCATGTTTCCTTAGGTACAGCATCTGTCTGGATGGTATGTGTGAAGAACTGCACCAGTAGAAAAGGGATGCGTTGATCAATGATCATCATCTTTGCAAGATCTGATCTGATGTCTACCTGTAGTTTCTTTCTAGGACGCACCTTTAACTGCCTTCTTCCCACAAGCTGCCTTGCCACTGACCAAAATACTGCCTTGCTTCTGGAAATTGTTTCTTTCTATCGTGAGACTTCTTTTTTTAAACATAATGGTACAGGTAGTAGTGATGAAGTACTAATCCAGCAGTCAAGGAACTATTCCTGCTTCCACTGAGCATCTTTGAAACTCTAAACACAAGTGCCTCGTTACGAACACACTGATTACATGAATTACTGATGGAGTGAAAATTATTTGAAAAGCAACATGCTGTATATATCCTGCTTTCTACACACACATTCTCCATCATTTTTCCCCTCTTAAAAATACCGTAGTAGTAGCTGATGTTCTACTTGCATATGCAACTGCAGTAAAGCTGGATGGTCCTTGCTTAAAACCTTCTCACATTCCTGATATAAGTAGAAAACAGTACTTGCTTATTCTTGTCTTTCAGAAGACTGCTTCACAGTATGGAGTCAGCCATCAATGGGTTGTTTGTCACCTCAAAAATTTTTACTGTAGTACTTCTTTATTTGACTTAGTAGTTCTCTGTGAACATATATTTTACGTATTGGCAGTAACAATCCAAAACACAAACCAGTAATACTCTGTTAGTGCATGTATGTAACACAGTCCAGGCCTGATCCTGAGCAGAGTTGGGTTTAGAATTTGTTAAAGTTATAAATTGAGCTCTGTTTATAGCTATAATGCAAAAACGTAACATTTTATCTTTAAGTACCAGTAGCATTTTCAGTACAGCATGCCTGTTTTCAAGAATAGCAGCTGATTCCAGGGAAGTACAAGAAAGCTGGTTTAAAATAATTTTTCTCCCCAGAAACAGCAAGTGTGTTGTCTTGCATTGCTGAGCTGTGGGTTTGTTTTAAAATTAGGCACGTCTGTGTTACAAAGGGGTCCTAGTCATTCTCTGACAGATGATATGAAGGCTGTTTGATAAAGGAAAGTTTCTATTAAAAACATCTTCTGGGAATTTGCAATGATTACTGAAAGCTGTCAGTATAAAATGTTATTTTTAATGAGGCTGCTGAGATAGAAAACCTTTACTGTTTTGCACTTTATAAAGTGCAAACATTTTCCCAGCATGCTTGGGAAAATGCAGTTGAACAGTAGAAATGATTAAGCTTGGTGGCAAATATGGCATTCAACTGCAAAATTTCCTCTGTATATGATATTTTGTGAAATGACCAACTTCTCATTTTCCTCTGTTAAATGATATTTCAGCCTTGGACACAGCTTTGACTAATAACAGACTCTTCTGTGCATTTACAGTAGTAAATATGTTAAAAGGATCTACAACTGAATATTTCACTACTACTTTCACAATGGCCCTGCTCTTTTTCTTCAGTTTGTAAAGGCTGATCAGTCTCCAAGATGTTTGCACCCTGCACTAGCATGTGCTGTGGCTGTGTTGACAGAGGTAGGAGGATTTTTGGTACCATCTTTGCAAGTTGGGCCTATAAGTGGCCCTGGAACACTGTGCAAGGGAGCTCTTAGGAGCCTGTCCACATGTAAAATGGGCAAGCAACTAGGGTGCTTCTGGCCCTCTGCCTGTCATCCCTCCTGGATTTTGTTCTCAACGAAGAAATCCAAGTAAATAGCATTTCTGCAACATCCACCTCTCTTATCAGCTCAAAAGCAGCTGTCAGCAAAGGGCTTGAACAAAGCAAACATGGTTGCAAGTCTTCTCAAAGATGGGGAGCACTGAGGGCACTACGTAGGTGGATCACCCCAACCAGCTAAGTTTTTCCCTAGCACAGTTCAAGTGTTAAATGGACTTTAGTTCACCTTTTASCTTAAGTGTTGGTTCAAATAAGCAGAGTTATGGTGTCAGAATTCTCATTTCCTGTAAAGTACAGATGAACATGTAGAGTTCTGCCAAAACAGAATCTCTTATTCTGGAGTAGTTCAACCTTTTATAAAATAATGTTGTCCTGTCCTGCTGAATGTGTTAAAAATAAAATAGATCATGTATCCTACTACAAATCTTTCAAAAGAAAGAATGTAGTCAAATTAATTTTCCATGTGCTGTATTTTACTGAGTACAAACATGAGTAAGAGTATTTAATTTAGATGTAATACTGCTACTTTTACAGTTCGTAAAAAAAGGAGTTCTGCACAGCCTCATTTCAGCTGCTTATAGCTAAGCTTGTGGTTCAGTGTAGACCTGTCAATCAGCATTGACATGAATTAAAAAGAAGTGCTTCTAGAATACAGATGGAAATGAGCTTCTTTTGGCCTACACATGGTATTCTTACCACAAAAGTGGTAAGTAAAAYATAAGGTAAGTTATAATTTACAAGTATTCATTTAGGAGCATTAAAGTGATGGGAATGCAAGGATGCATTCCCAGTTCAGCACTTTTTCCCTGCAGGAAGTCCAAAGACAAGGTAACCAATGTGTCTCACCCAACTGAAGGGGTACTGGCAGTACGTCTAATGAGATTAAGACAGACATCCAGTCCATGAGAACAGTAACGACACTGCTGGGAAAGAGGGCGTTGCTAATCAAGAAGTGCAAGCACTATTTTCATTTCATGCATGATATTCCTTAAATGACAGAGTGATTTGCCTCTTCTTCTTGCCACCACTCCCCTAAAAGTGCACTCATTTGTAGGCACATCGAAAGTCAAAAATTCCTTGTGTTTTCACAGACGTAAAGTACAGCACTTACCTCGTAGAGTAAACCACCTTTTTGAACACAACAGCACAAAGCAATCCTTGTTCTGCTTAATGGCTTCAGAACCCATTTTAAATGAGAAAATGAACAAGTAAAAGTAAGTCTCTAGTCCTTTTGAATAGTGAAAGTTTAATTTTTTGAGGCTCTGTTGGTAAAAAAAAATAAGGATAGATTGCAGCGTCATGAGGAATCTATGCAGTTAATTGAGTACAATGAAAGACGGTACAGTCTCATTTGTGATTAACCTATATTGTCTAATGTTACTATAGACACTGATTATTAAAAATGTTCTATCAAATTTTGAGTTAAAAGATAAATATATAGAAGGCAATAGCCTCTAAACAGTCATTACAAGTTAAGATCTATCCTGAAACAGTTGTAACTATTGTTTTAAAAGGCAATCTTAGCAGTCACAGTAAAGCTGTACGTTACAACATACACATTTAATAAACGTATAAAAGGCTCAAAACCATAAAACTGCAGGGAAACATAAACTTTATCCCTCCTAAAGAATAAGACAGGCACAGAATTATAAGAAATCTAAAAAAAAAAAAAAAAACCCTTTTATCTTTTTTACCTTGTATATTATTGCACAGAAAGGCTAGAAAATAAATGCCTGAACACTCACTCCTCTACCCAAGCACACTTCTAAAATTCACTCTTTATATATATATTTATATATAGTGTGTATATATATAACATACTATATATACACACACATTATATATATATATATATACACACACACACACTATACAGTCTTTATATATTATATTTATAATGATGGTCAGTGGTGTATTCTATGAGGTACTCTGGATAAACCTGATGCTTCTCAAAGATGACAAAAATGGAAGGGTTTGCAATGTTATTCACACAGCTGTCATAGAAGCTGTTCTGGTTGCCCTTCAATGGAGGGCGAACGTAAGAACTGTTACCAAGAGTGAACTCCCCTACCAATACCCGTGCCAGAAACATGGTCCTGGGGTATGAGTCTTCCCTGCAGTAGTTGTCAGAATAAGATGCATCTCTTGCAAAATAGCTTCCTGTAAAGGAAAGACAGGGTTGGTAAGAGACCAAAATGTAAAGAAGGAAGAGATGCAGCATAAAATCAAATTCATTATCGAAAGTCAYGAAGCAATTCTTGAACAGTCTTTACAAAGCCTTCAATTGTGCTGTACATCCTTCCTGATGAAAATTACAGTTAGGTATTACCTGCCCTTTCRTTTTTCATGGTACCCAGGTTAAAAAGACATAGAGGTGATGTTTCAAGTTCTACCATGTTCCTTAAGACAATACCTCTGACCCCAGATTTCCATCCTCCTCARTATCACCCAACTTCCTCTCACAAGAGAAGCTATTAATGTCCATTAAGACATTTGTGAGATTTACTAGGTATTCGGTTGGACGGGTGGAGGGTCAATCTGTCAGTCAGTCTCACCTCTATTCTGCTTGGTATATTTATCCTTTCCTGTACACAGGAAAGTGGGATGGAATATAATTTACTAACAAGACCAAATTAAAACAAAAAAAAAAATCCTTTAAACAGGATATGAGCATTTGTGCTTATAGTACAAAAACAAAATCAAACAAACAAACATCAATTAACCACACACGTACACACAAAATAATACCACCATTATTTTTCTCTGTGAGAGCTGGGAAAAAAATGGAACAGAATCATCTCTGGACTCTAGGGGAAATGCTCCCTAGAACTGACCTCTCATAAGCTTGTCATTTTTTGGAGTGGAATACAGAGGCCAAGGCCATAACCATGCCTTAGCTCCCAATTAACTGCCAAAGGCAGATACATTGTCCACATCATCGAACAGATAAGCCCCAGACTCAGTGCCTTCTTTCCAGCTTCATACCACAGCAATAGCTAGGGAGAATTTTTGGTAAGTTTTAAGATTTTAGTAAATTTAAAAGCTTCCAGAGCAACCTTTGCCATAGACAGTCCCATGAAGGCCACAGATCCTCCAGTCAAAGTTTTGGTGGCAGATGGCATCAATGTGCTTTCTACTGGTCCCATGAAATAAAGATCTCTCGTCTACAGCTCTCCCACCATTGCTCTTCTGCATTTGCTCCTTTTGCCTGAAATGAAAGGGATGATCACCATGGTTCCACAGTGGCTATATCAGACAAATTCCAGTGATACTACCAGCACTCGGAGGCAATTTTACCCAAAAGGCGCATTCAAAAAATCTTTGTCTTACGGCCTAAGCTTTGTGCATACAGGTAGCCAAATACATGCTTACATTATATACAAGTATTTCCTGTTACTTATTAGTAGAAATGTTTTGTTCCTTCCACTGCCTGGCGAGAGAAAGGAGCAGAACTTGCTATTAATTTGTCTCTAAACAGGAATTCACACTGATGTTTTCCTTCAGTTAGTTTTGAGGGCTGTTTCATTTTTGACCAGCTGCTACCATCTAGTGTGACTGATTCCCAGCTTCATGGCTTCTGTGGAAGGCAGGAATCCTGGACCCAGGCCTAGCACTGGGTCAGAGGCATTTGCTAAGGAGACAGGATTCCTCCTCCAGAATCTGCCTGATTTGCTAAGTTTTCTGTCTTAGATTGAGTCTGTTTTAGCCGGTTCACATGTTGAATCTGGCTAGGTGCTTCAGAAGGAAGAGAAGAAGCAGTTCACATGTTGAATCTGGCTAGGTGCTTCAGAAGGAAAAGAAGCAGATTCTGAAATACAGTGGCACTTCAGGAATGTGTTTAGCTATGTTTAGCATCCAGTACATTTCAGAAATGAAGTTCCTGAACACATACCAGAGCAGGATTTTATACGTACCACTGATACAATTCCCAGAGAGATGGGTTCTGAATCCTACAAATCCTGTTAATGATTGTTTTGGGCATTGTGCGCTGAAACTCTACCTGGACTTTCTTGTATTCATCAGATGAGCTATCAAGCACAATCAGCTGTAAGGAAGAAAATTAAAAGCCACTCATCTTTTACCCAGTCATAACAAAAATACCCTACCGTGCATACTATTCAGACCTTCAAAGTTTTTTCTGTGAAGCAGAGAGATGAGCAACAAAAATACTCTTGGAATGAAGCAGATTAGAGGTCCCTGCTCTCTKGAATAAAGGTAGCTCTTGGGTAGGGCACAAGAACTCCTGATAGCTAAGAAACACAGATTGGCCTTGCACAGGATGTTAAAGGAGCTGGATGCTTTTCCACAGCCAGCCCTTTTTGCCATTTAAAAAAAGACACATTTGCATATGCGTCTCTGGAACAGCATTTAAATACATAGAAGGAATGAGTCCAGAAATAACTTTAAAAAAATAAGAATTTATGTTGCAGCAAATCAGAGAATACCTCTTAACCCACAGTCTTTAAATCCTTATGTTTTGTGTCCCCCTAGAGCCAGCAAACATGTCTGATGTGTTTTGAAATAAACCAGAAAGGTTTTATTTGATCAAACCAAGCGAAAGGCAGGGGTACACTGCAGAAGATCAGATCCTTACACAATAGTTGTGAAAGAAAGCAGAGCTTTCTACCTTGCATGTTTCCCCTAGAAACATGAAGAACAGCAAAATTTTCCTTTGCGAATTTTAATGGCAATTTCTTGAGGCCTTACACTAAGTTTTCCAAGTTGGTTATTTTCAAAGTTCATACAAGAACATCTTTTCTGTAGGTAGAATTAGTTGTAGTTAATAGCAACATTGGTTGAGGCAGGCCAGCAAAGGCAAACCATGCAGAAATAGCTGGGTATATGACTGAGGTGAACGAGCTCACTGCTCTGGATTTAATGCTAACATCCTGATCCCAGTCTGTGCTCTACTGCTTGCAGCCACAACATACAAAAGTCTGCTTACACACAGCTCAGGCACTTCTACCCTGCAAGGTAGAAGAAGTTGTACTACAAGGTAGTGGAAGGTAGCACTTCTCTCTGATGCTTTAGAAGAGGTTGCACTTTAAAGCTGGTACGTTGGGCATCAGCAGTAGTCCTGCTCATACAGCGAAAGGTCCAGGCACATCTGCCAAGCATTGAGATAAACACCTGGCAGTGAAAGCCAGTGCTGCCACGGTTGGAATTACATCATTTGTTAGTTTAAATTTGGTTCCAGTATCTCCTCAACATCTGCCAAGTGTGGCATGAGGCTCAAATTTATCAGATCAACACCTCTGCATTATGTTACATAAGAAACAATCATGTACAAAGACATAAAAACTACTGAGCTTGTGGTGCAAGGGAATTGTTCTTGAGAAGAGATGGAGATGGAAAAAAAAGAAAAAAAATACCACCAAACCTTGAATCCCAGTTCAGGCAGAGCAGATTTGTCCCAGTGAGTTGGAACTTTGGTCCTTTCTTCTGCATTTTTAAAGCCCCTATGACAAGATATTACAAATAGGTCATTAAAACAAACCAAACCACACTCCTTAAGTTTTATAGTATATATAATGCAAAATATATTTGCCATGTTTGGTGAGACTATGGACTGCTGGGCTTATTCAAAAACATTTTATAATTGTCTTTCAGTGCAGTACAGGAAAATATTTCCAGATCATTAAGACAAGACTTATGGCAGCAAGGCAGATGTCAGACAAGCAATGTCAGATACAGCTTTCCTCCCTAATTCCACACCAACTGTAGTCAGTGCCTTTATTTGCCATTTTCAGTGTAATGTTTAAACATTGTGCTGCAAGAGAATACATTAAAAATGGCTTTTATGTGCAATTTTATAAAGCTTTTTCCCTTCTGAACATTTATCTTTTCCACCTGTACAAACAATTTCTCTCCTATTGTCTGGATATTCTCAAAACAATTATTTCTAAATTTGTGTTTAGTTTTGGAAATTGCTACTCTCAGATGTCAAAAAGGATCGTGTGTATAAATGCTACTGTTTCCATCTCTGCTATCAGCTGTTCTTGTATAATATAGCAACTCCCTGTAGCAATGCTATGTGTTACATTATCTTCCATGCTTCCAAACTTTCTGTGGCTCTTCCTCCCTTCTCCATGCTCCTATACTGCTTCAGGACTGTTTGACATTCTGCAGTGCTACTGTGACTAGACGTTGTGGCAGGAAAGGTACATCTCCTCCCCTTTCAATTTCTTTTATGATTGTCTTCATAGCTGTGTTTTCACCTTAGTAACATCTTTTTTTGCACGACAGTGAGTCCAGACATTCACAATGTGCTAGATCTATCACCAAACAACGAGCAGCTGCAGTTTACCTCTTTCTTGTGCTTTCTACCTCTGTCTGGGAGACAAATTTAGGTCTTCTGCGAACTTCTCTCTCAGTTGTATAGCGAAGGTTTTTCTGAACCATGTCTGGGGGAGTGGGGAGAGGCAGAAAGAGAAAAACAGAGATCAGTCAGCAAGGAGTTTTAGAAAGCCTTCACACAGCAGGGAAATATGCCAATAAGATGCTTTGCCAAAACTGCTGAAATGAAAAAAAAAAAGGGTAACAATTTTGTCTTGTTACAAACAGGGAAGCCCGAGCTGCACGCTCCTGAGCAGAATGAGGAATCCAGGGTCCTCAGCTTAGATCACTGAAGAAGACTCCAATTAAATTTTATTCTTAACTTTATAACGAATGATGGACAATGGTAGCTATGGAAATTTTCCTTGCATTGTTCCGTCAGTCCCCCTCAACCAAGAAGCATGATTGTAAAATAAACACCTACTTTTGCTTCATAGATTGCACCCCTATTTCTCAGTGTACAGTCATTACCAAGATAGTATCTTCTTGATTTATCTGTAGACTACAAGTCATATAAATATAATCTAAGAGCCATCACAGGTTATTCCTTTTCATCGACCAGCGACAAAAAAAACCTGTCGACCTCAATTTTAGAGGTATCATGTTATAGATCTTAGATCCTCTGTAGCAACTGCCACATCGTATTCATAACTGAGAGTCAGTAGCAGTCAATTATCAGAGATAAGCACACAAGGGCAGAGCTCTTAGTTGCACCAATCCTAGAGAGTGAGTTTTGGAAGAAATCTACAGTATGTGTTTTTAGATAAACAATAACAACAACCACCTCCAAATCTCCGGAAATTGATTAATTTATGACAGAATTTTCTCTTCTAAATCCAATAGAGAATATTCCAAAATTCCTTTTAATTGAAGAACAAACAACATATCCCATGCCTTTCATGCTCAGATTTTCAATGCAGAATTAGACAATAATGGAGAGTTGAGCTACACTAAAATGATAGCCCAGGGGGGTTGACTCCTAGCCACCATTTCCCATGGTCTCCAAAGAGAATACCTGAAAGGGCAGCAGTGCTAGAAGCTTTTAGCTCTAGAAGCTTTTAGCTCTTGAGCTCTTGGGAAAGTCACCTTCATATTTTGAGACAGTCAAGGTATTTCCCCAACCCTTCCAGGTAGGCTGAAGTACACAAAGCAACCAGCTGTAGAAATCTTACAACATGAATCAGTGGATGATCTTGATTCTCCAGGACTCATCGTTTGCCTGAGGATTTGTTTTTCTGCTAGCTAGTCATTAAACCAGCAGCAGCTGGTTTGCCAAGACTTCCAGAAGCTGAATATTTTGGAGGAATAGGTATGCCACCTTCCTTGTATGAACATTTCTTACACTATGACCTTTGACAGAAATTCTGTCTGTGTAAGTACTTCAGATAACAGTTCAGTTTTTCCTCTTGTTTCTCCTCTGATAATATAGCTTAAAAGTACAAAAGACTGACTAGGACCCAGGAAGGGGGAGAAGTACAAACGGAGTATGAAAAAGGTGACAAAAAACAAAGTAATGTAACATACCTCTAAAATTGAGTTCATAGTCATGTTTTCCAGCTTTAAAGTTCACCTTTGGAGAACCTTTGGCTATATAAGCTTTCTCCAGATCTTCACTGGAGACAGTGGCAGACGCATGAGACTTACTCTGTTGGGTCAGAACCAGAGAAGAAACACTCTCTTAGTCTGTTATACACAAGCAAATTTAAGAACTAACAGCTGTCCTAAGGTAGCTTCAGCCTGTATCTGCCTTTATGTGTGTGACTGTGGTTGTGACAAAAATGCAACCTACTAAGCAGACGAGAACTAGGAAACCGTCTCTAGAACAAAGCAAGGAGTTCTATGAAGTCTAAACTTATGCTGTAAACTCCATGCTGTGAACACTGCATTACAGAGCACATGTATTCACCAACTAGACCACAGCACAAAAGGCACGGAGTGCTACATAAACCTTGAAAACAAAGTTTTAGTTAAGAGCAGTTAAGAAAAAAGAAAGCATTTGTGTGATCCTACCTAACATGACTCACTGAAGAATGTCAATAATGGCTGTGACTCACCAGGCAGCACTCTCCTATCTGAACCATTCAAATTCACAGGGAAAACATCTCCCTGAGGCTCTAAAATTTATCTGCACACTATGTGTGGGAGAAGGGGCGGGAGCAAGTAACAGAAAAGGGGAGCAAAGACACAAGCACTGTGCACTTTTCAGGAGGTTTTACAGTTATAACACACCAAGTTGAAGGACTTCTCATTTCTGCACACTTACCATTTTTCCATACTCCTGCCACAGACCATATTCATCTTTCCAGTGCCAGATCCATTCTGTTGTAAGAATGAAGTGAGGAGGTCTGGTCACAGCAGAGGGCGTGGAAAGACGTCTCACCTTTGCAAGTCCAGAGCACATACTCTGAAAACAGATGTATGGCAAGACAGAGCCACTTTCAGTAATACCATTTCTAAATCTGTTAAAAAAAAAAAAAAGGGAGGCAAAAACAGTTAGGTCCAAGGCTCCCACAAATCTCCAACATAAATCAACATAACTCAAGAGCAAAATACAAACAGTTTCCACAACAATCCCAGTTCTGACTCTCTTCTGTTTGTACATACTTTGTTTTACATCCCACTTTTGTTCCACATGCAGTTTTGAATATCAATTTATAATTTATGGAATTATGCAAGATGACCAAAGACAATTTAAAATTTACACACACTTCTCACTGACCAGTTATGTACTGATAACTGCTGTTTTGGGAGTGTGTGGAAATCCCACGATACGTTCACATCCACATTAAAGGTGAAGGCAACTTCTAAGGATAGGGACAAACTGTGTACAGTTCTAACCAAAACCAGATTCTCACAACAATCTGTGACAAAATCCTCATTCATTTACATGAATGTTCTCCTTAGTGAGGATTCAGACTTTGTATGGTAGCAGCAGTAGCAGGACGAATTATTCACACAATTTTTCAGAGCAAGGAACACAGATCAGGCCTCTAAATTAACCCAAGCAGCTCCAATACAGACTCCAGGCAGTTCACAAAAATCCAACCTACAGCAAGAGTAGTTAAGCAAAGTGAGGGCAGCAGAATATTGAATGAAGGTACTTATGTAATAACTAAAATAGAGCCATAGGAATTTATGGCAGCTAAGAACCTGACCCAATATTGCTTGTCCAAAGGGCAAACTCCAAACATTATTAAGATTTATAATACTTTATACCTAGTTTTACTGGGATCACAGTATGCTTCTTCTATTTCTTCCATATTCTTCAAGTCTTTCCAAGTATCACCATCGGCAATTTGCCATCTGTACGGCAAGTGAAAATGAACTCTGATACACTTGTCTATAAAAGTAGGAGAAAATTAGAGATGTAGTGTTTTTTTTAGTCTACAAGAAAAATAAAGCATTTCAGGGAAGAATATTTAGCAGATGAAAGCATAAAGTGCAAGTAGTAGTTTAGGTTTTCTGAGCTTAGGGAAAAGTTTTATTTCTTCACCTACTAGTTAAACTTTGTGCATCAGAATTGCTATCAAGAGCTCAGTTGTGAAGGACCTTTTTATTAAGCTAGATCTAAAAGACAAAAAAATTACAATAGATCAAGACTGCAAGCTCATACAAGGCTTTTCATAAAAGGTTCAAGCTAAATGTCCAGGCTTAATCACTTAGCTCTTCAGGTGGTATCACTGAACAAAGCAGTGCCCAGTCTTCAGGGCAGAAGATAGATCATCTAAAGAAAGATTTCAAGACACCAAGAGGCTTAGGGATCTAGGACTCAGAAGTAACAACAGCAGCACCAGGAGTAACCCTGGTATTGCAGGCGTCACTCAGGAATCACTCCAAATGCAGAGCTGCTGAGCTGACAGGAGTGAAGAGGCTGGTTTTCATCGGACAGCAATAGGCAACACAAGGACAGGAAAAGTCAAGCAGTTCACACAAGACTTGCAGTTCTCCAGGTCAGGTCAAGAACACCAAGAAAGAAAAGGATGGCAAAAGAACCCCCCCAAGAACAAAGTTGGCATGGAAACATTCAAGGTAAGTATAAACTGAAATTTCCTCTTTCTGTGAGAAATGTCATTCATTTTTTCTTTATAAGAAAAGTAAAAGTAGACATGCTATGATCATAACTTACCTTTAAAAAGACAATTTTTATATAAATGATACAAACAGATCTGTTCCAATTCATCATCATTTGTATTTGAAGACTCTTGACTAGAGCTGTGTTTTCTCTCTAGAGGGGGAATTATAAACCTTGTTAATAAGCACTGCTTCAACAAGCTCCTCTAGATGGGCATCTATGGCTAGGAAAGATGCTTAAAAACAGTTTGTAACTATATAACCAAATTCAGCTCAGGAAAGACAATGAAGTCACTGATAACTTGGTAGACATCTAGGTCCTATGCCTTTATCTTTGTGAATATGACTTTCACATATGTTCTAAAATTCCTCAGAACAAGCAAACTAGATTTACATTTCTGAGAAGTAACTAAAATTCTGCTGTGACTTCTTGTGCTAGATAATGGCCAGATTAAAAAAAATGCCAAGAGAAAAAATAGTTTATAAACAATACAAATAAATACCACATCCATTCTTAAACTACACCTCTTCACATGTTTTCACCATAAAAAAAACACAATTCTCCTTACTTCTTGGTCCAGTGATGCTTTTCTATCTCAAGCTTTAAGACTTTTATAATAAACCAGTACGCACATCATTTCTCAGACACCCACAATGCCTTAAAATCCACTTCACCTGAACTTTTTAGACACAGCTTCTGTCAACAACTTGGTACCAGGTCAATCCTTGAAGACACTTCAGGTAGAAAACTCACTTTTTTTTTGACGTCCGTGTTTATGCCACAGTTAATGTAAATGTGCCTAAATGTTAAAGTCACTATATTGACTCCTCCCCTGATGTTTTCAAAAGATCATGTGGTTTACCTTTGCATGGTGAAGACTTGTCATCTTTCATGTCGTATGTCTTCTTGCCACTATTTTTTATATCATACATGTTCATGTAAGTTGTGGGTAGTTTCTTAATAGTGTCCGAGCTCATTCCCTGTCTCTCCAGTTTCTCATAACATTCTGAATTTAAGAAGTCATGGGATCGCTTGCAGTTGCTGCCAAATCTGCACTGTCCCTGCAAGAAGTACTGGCAAATATGAAGTTTGGTGCAGATCTTTCCATAGGTGCAAGATCCATAAGGTCCATCACCTTTGTTATAATACAGGCAAACCTTGAGCAAAGCGGGAAAAAAAAGAATTAAAAGACTGAAGTATAATGTTATCAAAATAGGTTGTTTGAATTTAAAGAGATTTTACCTTTTACAGTTGCATTTTTACATTGCAGTTTCACATATGCCTGTGTGAACCACAGAAACAAGAACATTTTGACTGCATAACACAAAGATATTTCCACTTTAAGTGGCAATAAACCAAATGCCTATCAATTCATGATAATGCTCTATTCCTTCACTGTAATACAATCTGCAAAACTCAGACTGAAACACTATGTTGGAGCAGCAAGAGTAATGTAGGCCAATGTCCACTTATAAGGACTGATAGTGTAAGAAGGTTCAAACTCACAATTTTCCTCTGCGAATACAGTAGCACTTTACCCATTTTGTTCAATTAAATTGCTCACAGAAGTGAGATGAACCCAAAACAAAGTTCGCCAGCTCATGGCCTGTGACCAGGAACATTCCTCCGAGCACCACTGTCAACCCTGTGTACGTATCTCCTGCTAGTATCAAGCCCCTTCCCCTTGGTGATGCTCATGGCCATACTGGGATAAGGACCTGCTCACCTCCGGTAAGAGCAAGGGGTCATTCTGAAGAAGCAGCTGGCGAAGTTCATCACCGCTTAAATTCTCAAGTCCRTATTGTCTCAGCACGCAGAGATTGTGCTCTGAGTGGAAGTTGTGAACAAACTTGCATTCCTTCCTACAAGTTGAGATAGCCAAGTGCAAACTTAACGGGACAGACTGGCACAGATTTGTTATCCTACCTACAGTACACTAAACACCTTCAAAAGCACATCAAATTAGACACCTTTTGGGGGCAAAAAAATGTAGTGTTTCTTTATCAAGTAACTGTGATTTGCCTCGCAGATTACATAATTCCCACACTATTTCTAATTTATACTCATCACAGAATGAGCGCAGTTCTGGCAATACTGGTATTTTTGACCTGCAGCTCCTGGGCCTATTTATGCACCAGAGAAACCCCATGGAAATGCCGGGGTGCCCCACGGCAGAGCCCATACCCACACCTCGGCTCCCCAACCAGACACCAGAGCGGTGCTGGGGGGCCGCTGGCCCTTGCGTGGGGCTGCAGGAGCTCTCGCCATGGTGGGGCCCAGAGGGAAGTGAAAGGTGCTGTGGCGTGCGGCGGGAGGGCGGAAATGTCATGAGCAAAACAAGACTTGGGAAAGCAAACCTCTAGCATTTCCCCTTTCTTGGAGGGGAAAAAATATATATATAAACATTTAATTAAGGACAGAAAGTACGTAAAGTGACTTCAGTGCCAGCAGTGTGGTGGGGAGGGGCGGACACGCGTCCCCACAGCACGGCGACGGTCCCCGGGCGCCGCCTGCCCCGCGCGACCGTTTAACGGCCGCCGCCGCGACCGTTTAACGGGCGCCGCCGCGAGGCGCTGCCGGCGGCTCCGCGGCGCCAGGGCCGGGGCGGCGCGGGGCTCCGCGGGGCCGGCTCGGGGCGATGCGGGAAGGCAGGGGCGGCTCGCGGGGCCCTCGCTCACCTGGCGCGCTGGTTGCGGCAGACGCCCTTCAGGTGGTACTTGCAGAGGTGCAGCCGCCCGCAGCGGCCCGCGCAGCCGCCGCCGCCCTGCGCCGGGCACAGGCGCACGCCGCTCGTGGCCACCACCACGGCGAGCTCGGCGGCCGCCGCCCCGCGCGGCTCCGGCCGCCGCGCCAGCGTGAAGCGGCCCGCGTCGCGCAGCGCCCGCGCCAGCTCCTGCCCGCCCGCCAGCCGCCGCTGCAGCTCGCCTAGCTCCAGGCAGCCGCCGCTGGAGCAGAGCAGCCGCAGCGCCTCGCTCGACAGCGACATGGCCGCGGAGCTGCTGGCCCGGCTCGGCACGGCACCGCCGCCCGCCCGCCGGCACCTCCGCGGCGGGGAAATGAAACCGAAAGCGGCGGAGAAGGCGGCGCCCGCGGCCGCCCTGGGCTGCGCCGGGCGGGACGCCGGCCCCGTCCCGCTCCCGGCCGCCTCCCGGTGCCCGTCCCGGCCCCGGAGCGCCGCAGGGGCTCCGCTTTTCGGGGAGAGGTTGGCAAGTTGAAACCCGTTTGGGTTTTAGGGATGACAGCTCTCATATCTGTTGTTCTTTGTTGCTGTTTTTGGTCTTTTATGTAAATATAAGGGTCCCAGAGGAATAAAGGGATCACAGGTAGGTCTCCAGCTTCCCCTCGGATCTGAGGGAGGGAGCTGAATTCAGCCACCTTTAAGCGCTGGAAGATCCACCTCTTGTTTCAGTTTCAGAGCTGGGTGTTTTACTGATCCAGTGGTGAGGAATGACATGAATCACCATCCTCTTTTCCCTGGAGTATCTCCCAGTGTCAATCCTGGGCATGCCTCCGCTGGCAATGCTTCCCGCACTGCAAACACATCAGCAGAGCATGGCCAAGCACCGCGGTCCTGCCCTRCGGGTGCTTATAAACGCTCTAGCCTGGGGACCACCATTCCCTCTTCTTCAGTACCTCCCTCGGGGCATTACTTGACTTGTGATTAAAGTAACGACAGAAAATGCCGTTCTTCATGTCGGGCAGCCAGCAGCAGACATGGGGGCTGTTAAAGTGGCCAGTGTTTGGTGCTGAACAAGCACCCCTGTCTGCTTCCTCCTTCACCAGACAGCTTCTGCTGCGCCCTGGCTCCATGGGCAGCCTTTCTCCTTGTCCTTCCCATTTCCTGCTTCCCCTGCTAGATTGGGGAGGGAGCGGTGAAAGGAGAAGCTAGACGAGCCCATTCAGCACAAGAGCAGCTGTATGAGGGTGGTTAGAGGCCCATGTAGGTCTGCAACCTGCCTTCAGCCAAGGCCACCAGCAGATGCCTAGAAGGAAGTGAGTGGCTGTTGAGTTACTCCCCTCCCTCCCACCTTTCCAATGTCCATTAACTTGATTTCCTGAACCAGAGGAAATGCCCTAATTTTATTAGAATTCTTTACTGTTCTTTACTTTCTGGATTCATTTTATGGTTTTACAGCCATCTACCCCCCTTTCATTGTCTCTTCCTTAGTGTGAAGAGTCTGGGCCTATTTTAGCCATTCTTTGTGTAGAACTCATGCCATAGCTCAGGCCATCCTTGTTCTCCTTCCCTATGTAATATAATCATTTTATTAAGCATAGCATGCAGATGGTGTGCAGGGTGTGAGCACCTCAAAGGTATGGTGACATGGTAGAGCTTATTGATTTCTGTTCTACTGCTTTCTTAATAACCCCTAACATGTGATTTTATTGATTGCTTCTGAGCCTGAAGCTGGTGTTTTCATAGAACTATCCCATCATTATCCCTAGATCTCACTCCTGACTGGGAGTAATTCAGAAGCTCTCGCTGTTTGTGTGAAAATAGGATAGTTTCTGCCTTTTTGTGTTGCTCTTCACTGAATTTGTGCTACTGCTTTATCATATAGTGCATCACAGAGTCTTTCAGCATTTTTTCATGATTCACTCCCAAAAAACACATTTAATGATTCTCCTGAATAACGTAGTGTGCTCAGCAAACTTTTTCACTTTGTTACTAGTTCTCTTTCCCTGACCATTTATGAATATGTTGAATAGCACAGGCCTGAAGACACCTGCACTGAAGGACTTCCCTCAACTGTGAAGATCTTTCGGAAATCTTAAGTCAACAGACTTGACTTTTGACATACTTAAGTTACAACTTGACTCTCCCTTCCCTACATACTTGCTGACACCCTCAAATGATTTCCATATGTGTCAGAGGTACACATGGTACACAGCTAGGACACATTCTCCTTACAGAGGCCTTGCTGGCTTTTCCTCGTTCTTTTTTTCTGTTTATGACTCCTTCCATTCCTTAGCATAGTTTTTATTTATGTGGCTTCCTAGTCTGTAGTTATCTGGATCTTCCCTAAGATACAGGTGACACATTTACTACTTTTAAGTCTTCTATTACCAAAGGAATTTTAAGTAAGGGATCACATACCACAAATAATAATTCTGATATTTCCTCTCTGAGTAGTTCAAAACACAGGTGAAAGTCTCCTGACAGTGGCAAGCTGTCAAATGGCAAACTGTTGTATAACTCTGTATACTGGCACTTCAGTGGGAGATACCTTGACTGAATCCTCAGATTTTCATGTTCATAGCAGGCATGGAAAACAGCACGGTGCTAAACAACTCCCACGTGCTCCACTCGGCCTCCATTTACTTTTTCTGCCCTGTACCCTAAACCCATCTATCTCAGTCATTCCCGTCTTATGTGTAACCACTTGTCCCAGCATCACTGTGCTGTCAAGGTTGCTGCTTCAGCTACACCTCTTCCGTATCTTTTCCCCTCTTGTGCCTGGAAAGCAACACCCATTTGGCAGAAATGAGGCATTTTCTTCATCTAAATTTCATAGGATTGATTATGTCAATATATACAGCAGCATTATAAAGACAGAGAAGTATGAAGAAAAGCAGGATGAGGTGTATGGGGAGTGTTGTTTGTAGGTGGACTTATACTAATTGCAATTTAGTTTGCTCTGCTGGTGTGAATTTCACCAGGAAGTTCACGTTGCTGTTCCTGCTTTGCAGCTATATTGAGTTTTTCAAGGTTCTGGAGCAGAGCTATCACTTCATGAGATGAAAACTAGAAGAACAGTCAGTGACTGATGCAGCAACAAGATTTACAGAGCTGCCTTTGACCATTGAATACCTTCCCATCCCCAAACACATACCCAAAGTAAATCATAGCTTATTCCTTCTTGCACAAGTTTCTTGTAGCCTGTTTGGTGACATGTTCCTCAGGAAGAAAAAAGTACCTCTTTGATTTCATACAACTTCCCCACCTATGAATTATATATAAGCAAAATTGTATTTTCTCCTTCTTTAGAAGAATTTTCTGCTAATGGAAAAGTAGCTTTTCAAAAAGCTACTTTTGATTTTACAAAATCAAATATCTGCAGTGTAAAAAAGGGTTACATGGGACCTTGGGGCACATAAGGCAACTGGCTCCACTTCAGCTCCCACATACACTAATTAAAGGTAAGGCTAGACCTCTGTTTTGTTAAATTTCATTGTAACCTAATAGCATGTGAACTATTCCACCTACAATCTATGGCTGCTTTGTGCACTGGACCTGTAATAAGCTCCTTTTAAGCAGTTCCTGTGGTGTCTAAACACGTAGGGTGCTCAGAGCACATGGGTCTATGACAATCGTGGGGCTTTAGATACAGCGGTTCCAGTGAGCCGTCTTTGTGAACATGTGGTATGTTGCGCTGTGGAAAATTTACACTTTAAATTTTTAGGGGCTTTTTTTTTTTTTTTTTTTAGTAAAAAATTATATCCTTCAATTGTGTTTATTTGAATTGCAACATCATTTTGTAATCTGGCATGTCTAGGTCTTCGGAATTTAGCTACCTAATGATTTTCCAGTGGATTTGTGGTTTGTTTCTTTTAAAATATCCATTCTTGTAATAGACTGTAGTGCCCCACATTACTTCCCATCCCATCTGCCAGTTTTAGCCCTTCTAACCAGCGTGGTGAAATTTCTGCCTCTGAGCTGCTTGCAATGGAAACAGATGCTGTGCTGAGCCTCCCCTGCAGTCCAGTGACATTTGTACTTAGGTAAGGAAAATGGAAAAAAGATAAATCCTGGATGTAGTCATGAGCTTGAATGTGCTGTAATGAAATGTTACCTTCCAATTGGCATAACTTAACTGTTGGCCATCAGGGGGTTGGCTTGGTGAGATACCAACAATATTTGCTTGCAAATGTTTTTAATTGCCTCTCAACCTACACTTAAACACACATTCAGAATATCCCTCACACTATCTATGAATCTCCATGAGAAATATCCAGGAACAAAGCTAGTTGTTTCGTCATGGGTTGGCAGTATGGTTACTTTTCACGTACTTGGCTAAACCTAAAGTAATTTTGTTTGAAGCTGATCCCTTCCATAGGAAACACATTTGCTGTTGGTGTTTGCTGTATAGTATTTCTGTATTTTACACTATTTTCTTCATTTATTACATGTAATTCTAACATGTAGACTAACTGACATATGTCAACATCCCTAATTGACATCAAGCTTACAGTTTTTAAAGATTTCACAGGGACATGCTAAACTAAAAATGAACCGAGCAGCCAAAGTCCTACAGCTTGAAAGCAAAAATCTGAAAACCTCAGCTCTGGTGCAGTACCTGAATAACACCAGGCTGTGGGGCTGTTGGCTGTCCCAAAGATCTTTCAACCTCTCCAGAAAGTAGGATAATCCCCTTTTTCTATAATTGCCTCAGCACTGATCTCATTATGGAAGCTAACTGTAAAGACTGGATGTGACATAGGGCACCTTTTTTTTTTTTTTTTTTTTTTTTTGTCAAATCATTGGTCTAATGGTATATATGAGAATTTTTATTGCTTGCAGTTTTCACTATTCCTTGAATACTTTTCAAGTGGCCTTGCTCCTCCAAATCAAAATATTTTTGGCTTGAAATTCACAGCACAATTGGTGCTACTGTTATTTGTTATTGACACAGCTCTATTCTGATGCACTTTTAGTTAAGTGGTGCCAATATGAATGTATGTGCAAACCAGAGACTTTTATTCTTCTTGGCTTTATATCCTGAAAAAGTTGTTTTTTGTACACTGACTTCTTCAAGATTACAGAAATCACCAGTTCCCAAAGACTGTTCTTCTCTCTGTGCATCAGGGGAAGAAGATGTGCATCCCTCTGTGCTGCTCATTTTTATTTCTTACCTTATTCCTGCAAGGACTGTGTCATACACTCCTCTCCTAGGCCTGATCCCAAGTTCATTGGAGTCAATGTGGGAGGGAATCTTTCCATCCCCTTTGAGGAGCTCTGGCTGCAGTTCTCATTCCCAATGGCTCTTTCCCTAATCCTGCAATTCAAGAGACTCATCTCTTGCTGAAAGAGCAACACAGATCCCTGTCAAATCACATGTAGATATACCCCTAAATCTTGATGTGTATTTGTTGGAACTAAATCTCTGAAGCACATCCCTCTTCCAGGACTTAACTGTGTTAATGTCTTCTTAATACTACAGTGATCCTGAAATGAGCACTAAGGGCTCGGATTGAATTTTGATTCAACCATGAAAGGGCCGTGTGAATTGTGGTGTGTGTGTGCTGGCTGCAGCTATACACAATTTACTTAGCAAGTAGCTTTGGTATGGTGCTTTCCAAGTTTATTGCCATGGCATTTTTTATACCTCTGGAAACACCTGAGCCAACAAATTCACTCCTTTTAGGGTCAGAGAACGTGTCATGATTATAGTGGGGGAAAAACAAAACAAAACAAAAAAACCCCAAAAAAMCAGCTGAGTTTTTATGCTTCTGTTACTCTTCATTTAGAATGAAAAATTGAGATGAAATTTGTGGAAAAACAAAAAAATATATAAAAACAACAAAAAATGGGAACTAATCAGAACCAGAAAAAGTTTACGGAAATGGATGCAAATAGGCTCAAAGTTTAGAAAACTTTGTTGGCCTAGAATAGTTTTGCCTTCATTTGTCATCACATTATCCAGCAATAATGTCTGTTCTCCTAAAATGCTAAATATGAATATGTCTGTTAA